GAAACCAGAGGCTGAGGACACATTAATGTGAGCGGAACTGCAATATGCTATCTTAAATCATGCCATTTGCTCCCTTTGCAACAACAACAACAACAAATTACACTTGTATGCTATAAGTGTAAAGTATACACTTTACTCTGGCAGGTCGCAAAAATAGTACATGAGAAAAAGGTACAGTTTTTAACAAAGATTCCAAACAAAATGCAACTTTCATGGGTATCACTTCCTGCATGCTGAGCCTGTACGGTGATCGGGAAGTGACGTCAGTGGGGACCTCACGTCACGATAGTCAGATCTTTTTTAACAGAGAAGTCAAAATGGCTGGCATTCAGGAATTAGGTCACCACAGAAGTAACTTGTGCATGAGCATACTCACAAAAGGTGCACTTTGTTCATTAAAGCACTTTGTGATTAAAAACACCACAGTGGGTGTATTGGAGTTGAATCAGAATTTGTCTCCCGCTTGCCGCTAAATGTGATCTAAACTAAATATTGTCCATTGTGCCTGTAGCTTGGGAAACTGTATCTTGTCCTCATCTACTATATTGCGTGTTTTGCCAGAGAAAGATGCTTTCCAGTAGATCCTAATACATCCCAGAGTTTCAGTTCTTGCCCTTTTAAATGCACAAATTTTCACATTTTTAGAAAAGTACATTAAGTTGCTGGTGTCCACACTGAAATCCAGTACATGTACTGAAATCTGTCATCATTTATCCAGATCTCCAAGCGTTTTGATGAATTCTTTCTTTCAATGTCCAGAAATTATCAGCATTACTGTTTCCTGTAATGTATGGAGTGGTCAAGCCACTGAAACTGGGGTGATACTGTCCAGCATCAGATCATTCACACCATACTCCATGCTTTTTGTGCTTTGCCATTTTCTTTGCCACCACTGAGCATCCGTTGCACTACCAATAGTGGAACTTACAGTGTCCAGGAGTGAGGCAAAGTTGTTTTTTTCTCAAATGCACTGAAGAAAAACTGATTTCAATCTCGACTTTTATCAGTAGAACCATACCTAGGAACATAAGAAAATATGAACAGGAGGAGGCCATCTAGCCTGTTTCCTAGGTTTATTAGACTTTTGTGGATCTTTTAATCCTGATCGGTGAAACAAGGGATTAATGCATTGTAAGGAAGTGGTTACTGTAGGTGAAAGAAAGTGCTCTTTGCAAATCTCCTGTTTTTTTTCAGTTTAATAAAATAATTCAGACTTCAAGTGAAGAATCAGCCAAGAACAGCGTGCAAAACAATGCAACATCTTTTGTCATCAGTTATCAACAACCACCTTGTTTCTAAGCCAGAATTTTTCTTGATACGTGGATTCCTGTAGCTCAGTGGTTAGAGCACTCACCTCGCAAGCGAAAGACCTGGGTACGATTCCTGGCAGAGCGAAATGTTGGGCAAGTTTCCTTACTCCACATGCCTCTGTTAACCAAGCAGTAAATGGGAACCTGGTTGTTAGTCGATTGGTGATCACTTTTCCGAGGGTAACAATTCCTTAAAAAATAAAATAATAAATTAGTCACTTCAATCCATGACTGTTTGTGGGACACTGCTGTGCACAATTGGCTGCCACGTTTCGCTCACAAAATATACAGTCAATTCACTTTACAATATATTCTGTGAAGCCCTTTGAGAAGTCTTGAAGACATGATAAGGCAGTATATCAAACACAAGAATTATTATTATTATCAAGAAGGGAAAATTGGTCCCTTGGTGAATAAAGGTACTGCCTGGAATAGCACCAAGTACATCACCAAATCATATGGATTAATTCCTGGTGGTGCATTGAGTTAGTTCACATCAGCTAGGGCAGCTATTGGGGTAGTGCTACTTTCTTTAATGTCCCTGGGTTAGAGAGAGGAAAGTCAACTTGGATTCTCACAGCTGATCACTAACCCAGGATGTGGGTGTGTGGATGTTGGGTGAGGACAAGATGGGGGTTGGTTGTGATACCTCCAAGAGTGAATAACCCGTCTACACTCTTAAGTTCACACATGAAGAATATGTTAGAACAAAGCTGCTGGCACCTTGTTTAACTATAGCCATGACTCCTCAATCAGTGCCTCCAGGAGAGGAGGAGGTGAGAAAATTGGCAAATAAAAAAGAGCAAATTGTCTCAATAAGAAAATCGCACCATGGCATCAACAGTGAATTAAGTCACTCTTCGGGGATTTTTTTTTCTTTCTGCATTGAATGAGGAAAATAAAGTCTTACAAGAGTGATGTCTCCAGTTAGCATTTAGAATAGGAAAAATTCCTGAATTGCTAATGATTGATTAAAGCCATTTTTTTTCCCCCGGGTTCTTGATACATTCATGGAGTGTTATTAGGAAGTTGTGTACCCCCAGCTGATTTAATCAAAAGCTGGGCACATTCACAACACATTTCAGGGCTAAAGAAGAGAATGACAAAGAGGACACACAATATAAATTACAAACAAAATTCTCAGTACATGATCTGCTTATTACTTTATTAGTTAGTAGCCGACAGATTTATAAAGGGTTGTACACTTACTTTGTGTCCTGCTGTGTGTTATATTAATCTTGTTTCGCATTTTCTTTTTCCTTTTTCTTTTAAAGAAGCCTTTCACCCTAGTGTTGCCGGGTTTGTCTGCATTGTCCTTTTCCCCCCGACATTTATCAAGAGTAAAGAGCCTTTACGTAAAGGCAAGATAACTAGACTCAGTATCCCAAACATACTATTTCACAAGCAATCAACGGGTTTTATTCGCAGAACCCGTTATTTATCATTGTAAAAATTCAAAATAATAAACTGTTACAAAATCTGTATAATCTTCATATGATCCCCTCAAAGTCTCAGACACTGGATTCCAGCTGAGAGTCTAGGCAACTGTCTGTTTTCTTAGCTTCCGCTGTAGCCTCTCTATGGGCAGCTGGTGTTTTGATGGCTGACCCAAGATGCCTTCCCTCCCCTTCTTCCCCTCCATGAGGAATTCCCCACCCTCCCATTGACATGGAAACCGCATATCCGCTCAGTAAACCAGCCAAAAATGGGCAACTTTCCATTTGGAGGAATCCAGTGTGCGGATGGCAGCCAGGTCTGGGATAGGAGCCAGGGTGTTTGTATGATTTGTCAGCCGATGGCAAATCAAACAGATTTAGCATAAAGAGGGTCAAGGTTTAAAGGTAGATTTAGGGTTAGTTATCAGATTAAGATTGTTTCCTTTTGGGGGAGAGTTAAAGATTTAGGGCTGAATTGTCAGTTAGCTGTATCAAAACAGGTCACACAAGGGAGAAATTCTGCCTGGATCTAAGTTTACTCTATTTAGCATTTAGCATATTTAACGTCTGGAATTTGGCAAATTGTTGAATACTGTCTTTGAAGTTCTTAAAATAACTTATGGAAAAATAGCTTCAAAATTAAAGCTGCATTACAAAATTTCCCAAATTCTGGTTGCACTAAAATGCTACATAAATTAAGTAAATCTAGACCCAGGTGGATTTTCTTCCCTAGTTGGTCTATAAGAGATCTTTACTGATTAGTGTTGCTAGCTATATAAAAATCTTATTGAACATCAGTTGTTTGATATGGAAATACATGTGTCGTGGTTGAATAATCCATTCCGCAGCTTTAATCCTCGAAAGATATGCAACAGCTTGAAGTACACTGTATGGTAATGCCTTTGGTGTTTGTTTTTTTGTGAGGTACAGTATTTATTATTATTCTCCCCACATCTCCATCATACCATCCCCAGCCAAGAAGTCCAATAGGTGACTTGTTCAAAAATCTAGGCAACGGTTGTTCAGTAATTGATTGCAGGGAGTTGATTATTGAACTTACTTCTCGTGCCTCGCTTTCTCTCTCTGTCTCTCTCACACACACACCTTGCCTCCCTTACTCCCTGAAAGGATACAGATGCCCTTTCCACATTTCACATTTGGCATATGAAAAGCAGATCCAGGCATGACATGAAGTAAGTGATAAGAACATAGCAGAACTGTGTTTAAGACTTTATGACTGAGAAGGAGGTACCGATACCAGAGGTACACGGAAGACAAGAGGTTAGCAAAGGGGAAGAGATACACAGGCCTTACTATAAACAATGGTAATGGATAAACTAATGGGACTGAAGACAAATCTCCAGGCCTAGATGATTACCACATCAGGGTATTAAAATAAATACATGAAAACATTGTAGATATTATATTATATACTTTTAGAATCCATTATTGGGGCAGAACTAGATAAATAGTGTATGAACAAATCAGGGAGAGTCAGCATGGTTTTGTCAAAGATAGATCAAATCTAATTTGCTGCATAGAGTTCTTTGACAGAACCACTGAGGTTATAATTAAAGGAAGATTGATGGATGTCATTTAAGTGGGTCTTCAGAAGCTATTTGATAAAGTGCCACGTAAGAGAATACTAGCTAAAACTCAGGTATATAACTAGAGGTAATATTGTGACATGGAAAAAAAACATTGGTTGGGAGGCAGGAGACAAAAAAATGAGATTAAAAGGAAATTCTTATTTTGATGGGCAGTGACTAGTGATATTGGTTTATATGAATGTTCTGGATATAGGGATATCATACCTCTTCAGAATCTTAAAGACCTGTATTACATAGCCTCTCAATTTTTTCTGGTTACTTACAAAGTATCCCATGAAATTCAGTCAATTGATCCCAGAAAGTATTCAGTTCCAATGTCAGTGGACAGTGTGTAGGGGAAGGGATCTCCTTCTAAGATTGGAGAAAACTATCTTGAAGAAATTACTTTTTAAAAAAGTCCAAATCTTTGAACAATTGAATACATTTGAAATCTTTACCATAAATAAAAACATGCACACTGCTTCACTCTTTACAACTTAACTATTTGTATTTAATGTCAACAAAGTGATTTTCTATGAATTTGTTTCTGCTGAACAATTAAAGAACATAATTAAAGGAATGTAAGTCATCATAAAATGTTTATTTCTTGCTCTATTCTCTGAATTAATTAAAGCATTTTAACCTTGTTGTATTTCCTATTTCAGTGCAAAATTCCTACTGCAGTCCTCAAATGGTTACAGGCAAGTGTTCCATCCTATGAATTTTAGTAAACGTATCTTTCAGAGCTGGAATAATTTATGTGCAAAGCCATGCAGATGCAGAAGTAACCAGGTTTCTCCCCTGCTTTATCATAATGGTCAAAACTGAGTCACCACTTCTCTCGTCAAAGAAGTAAAACAACAACAAATTGCATTTATATAGCACCTTTCATGTCGGGAGGATGTCCCAAGGTGCTGGACAATGAGGGGTTTGCACCTGAGTTGCAGGTTGGGATCAGAGGGGTTAGACAGCAAGGGGGGTAAAGAAGGAAGATGACCGAAGGCACAGTCAAAAAGGAAGGTCTTGAGATGGACCTTAAGAAGGCAAGGGATGGGGCTAGGCGGAGGTGCTCTGAGATGGAGGGTAAGGACAGAAAGGCTGAAATCCCAACCACCGTTAGTGGAACGGATAGGGCAGGGGACATGGAGCAAGCAGAGGGAGTGGAAAGATTGGTGAAGTTTTAGTATGTCGCAGAGGTAGAATGGAGCAAGATCATGGAGGGCTTTAAAGGTTAGGACAGGGATCTTGAACTCGATCGTCTGGAGGATGGTGAGCCAGTGAAAGTAAAAGCGGGCGAGGATCAGCTTGATCAGTGAGTGATCAGCTCACAAAGCTGATCAGTGGATAGAACAAGTATGCTTGCGAACTCACTCCTTGAATTCCTGTATTCCATTTTTTTTCCTTCGTTACCTTCCCTCCACCCTCCACGTCTCCTTCCCCTCGCACGCCCCCACGCACACACTATATAGGAAAGGAGGGGAGAGAGGAGCAGTCATAAAAGCACATTGGTGCTAAAATGATCCAGAAAATGGTTTCCCACATCCACACCTAATGTTCCGAGCGCACTCACTCAGAGATAAGCTTCTTTCCTTAAGAAGATAGATTTTTTTGTCTAATCAAAATCAAGAAGGGACTGGGAGCCATCTGGAATTTGAACAAAATAACTATGGGAGGGGGAGATTCCTGGAAATTGCAGCCTGCCTTGTTAGCATCACAATTGCCGGATTGCTTTTAGCTTTTTTTAAATTTGAATTTGCGTGGTTATTCATCAGTTGTGGATCATCCTCTTATTTTACAATCACTCACCTGTCGTGAGTTGCCAGTTCTAATCAATCAGGTGCAGGCAGATGACAAAACAGTTCAGCTTGTTACACTTCAGATGATGATGCTGCTTTTTCGTGCATAATTTATCCTTAAGTGCAGTAAAGATATTGAGACTCGAAATCCCGAGCATGTTTTCTGAAGTGGATCAAACACACTGAGCTTGAATCCAGCACGCTTTGGGAATGGATTTTAATTGCTACGTTGTATGTGTCCTTGTGTGTTTATTACATTTGTATTCCGCTGGTTTTAGCTGCAGCACTTACAGTAGTAATGTTTCAGAGTTACATTGAAATAATTGTGTTCTTCACCATTCCCACAAACAATGCAACATCGCCGGTGCTGGCAGACATTCAAAGGCAAAGTGGACAGAAAGTCACTCAAATAATACTTAGTAATTTGATTACTTACACTCTTAATTTACAAAGAACTAAAAAATGAAGTGTCCACTGTCAATTTTTAATTTTTTAACAAAAAATAATTTTTGGATCGCTTGTAGCCCCCAAAATCTGTGGCAAAATTGAACAGTTTGATGGATTGTTCCATCTGGGATTGTATATCTGCTTGCTCTGAGTGAATTATCTTTGCAAAAATGCAAAAATACATTTACTGATTGACTGCAGGAAATGCAGATTTTAACAAAGGAAAAATTTGTGCTTTTTTATTATCTTAAAATAATCCTTATGTTGAACCTAAGCAATTAAAGTTGTTATATGCCATTAGGAATAAATGAACAGCATTTATAATATTTAGTACCTTTAATTTTTTTTCAAATACAGAGCTAGTTCATTGGACAAAATGCTCCATTTACACTGTAACATGTGTTTCTTTTTGCAATCCAAATGTGATTTAAGAATTTGAAATTGCAGGGTGAAGGCTTGGCTGTGCAATGGATGGATGAGTTTTTACATGTTTCACACGCAGCTTCAATTAGAAATGCCCAAATTCAATTGCGAATTTTACTTCACACCCTGATAGAAAATCTATTTTAATTTTGTTGGACAAAAAAATTATTGCACCCTAGGTAGACTATTTTTAGCTCCTTGCTGCACAGATCTCTTTTTCACAAAAAGCTGTGAAACGTTTGTTGCATTTCATCAGCTTTATGAACAGCTGTTATTTCTCAGAGAAAGGGGGCTGGTGATCTTCTGTAACATGGGCATGAACTCTAGCTGAATGAAAGCACAGGATTTTACAAGCATCATCTTTACACAATGCCACTCCTTAGGCGCCAACAACAGGATACTTCATCCCCAGCTCTCTCTTCCGCTGCCGTTACCACCCATACTTCCAGATATCAGAACACTCAGTGGTGACATCTTTTTTGTCATGCTTGCGATAAGTTCAAAGTAACCTTGCAAAAACTCGTGGACAACAGGACTTATAAATGTATGGGGAGAAATTCCATCTAGGTTTAGATTTACTCTCTTCCCATAACATTTTAGAACATCCAGGATTTGGGACAATTCTTAATAAAAAAAACAGCTTCCAGGTTAAGACTGAATTCAAGAGTTTGTCAAACTTTGGATGCTTTAAATTGCTGTATAGAGTAAATCTAGACACACACACACATACACTGTAAAGGCTGGGGCTGCACTATGAGTGATGCTCAATAATAATAATAATCCTTGCATTTGATATAGTGCCTTATCACATCATTCAGACGGCTCATATTGCTTTGCAGAATATGCTGTAAAGTGAATTGACTGTATATTTTGTGGGCGAAAAGTTCAAAAAACAAAGTGCTCAAATATCAACTCCACCACTTGAACATTGCTCAAAGTGCCTAATTCTATTCTTTCAACAGAGAAACCTAAAATATGCAGTGCACATTGGATGCTGACATTTAAAGGCAGGAGATCTGAAGACTAATTTTTACCATCTCAAGTCAGAAGTTGTAGAACACACTCACACACAGATGCACACCCCATGACTCAATGTTGTGGGCCACACACTGTAGTAATCTCTAAAACCTGTGGGGGGACACAGAACGCAGGTCAAGAACATTGGTGCCATTTGTAAACAAGCTCACAATCCCCTCCTTTGAATGTGTTGCCAAATCAGTTGAGTTCAGATCCTACAAAATGATGCTCAAGCTGTGTGCACTATTGTGCAGACAGAATTTCATGCTTCTGAATTTCGAAAGATATGTTGTACAAACTGGAATCAAGTGTTACCGATCCGTTGAATATTAAGCATTTCTCTGAGTAAATTTGCTACATTTTATCATGTTGAATCTGTTTTGAAATTTAAGTCAATAATTACTGTCTAGTTTCAGCTCTAAACACCCCACAATTTTTGCACAATGGTTTGCTCTGTAGGAGACTTTTTGGCTGTCATCTTTGTTCAGGGTCAATCAGTAAAAATATGTGTGCTCTGGTATCAACTTAGAGAGGACGTCTTAAGCTGTTTTTACAGGTTATTGGCTGATAAAGCTGGTATCCAATTTTTAGAATATTATTTTCCATAATACATAGGTTTGTGCATTTAGAGCCTTGAATCCCACTAGGTTTTAGTTTGTGTCACCATTTTTGACGTAAAATTTAAGGTCATGCAGGATTGTGCAAAAGTCTTCAATTCAATCTTAATTTAGAAGCCGATTATTTTAAACAACTGCCTGAAATCTGCTTCCAAATTATGACATTATTTAAGAATTTTACGCAATTATGAACAATCTTAATTTTAAGCTAGAATAGTCTTACAGGCTAAGACTAGATGGAAATTCAGGGATTTTAATAAGATACAAATTTAGTCCTTAATACTTTTATAGTTATGGCGTCATGTACAACAGTGATATTTCTCTCCCGTCAATCCACTTTTCAATATATTCTATAAAGCGCTTTGTGACGTCTCAACGACGTGATAAGGTGCCATATCAAATGCAAACATTATCATTATTATCATTAGCAACAGCAGGAGTGACAGCAGACAAAGGCAGAGCAGGTAGTCACTGACTGAGCTTGTTTTGTCACCAATTCCTCAAACAAGGCTGGGTCTATTTGCTGTCAATTACCAGGGCTACCAGCCTTCACTAAATCCAATTAAATGTAGCAAATCGAGTGGGGTTTCCCTTGCAGAAATCTCCCTGGGATTAGATTTACTGTATTTACGTAATGTGTCAGAGCATACTAAATTTGGCAATTTCCTGATATCAGTCTCAATTTTTAAGACAGTTTTCTGTAATTCCTAACAGAAGTTACAACAGTAACTTGCATTTAAAGAGCATCCTTCATACAAAATAGTCACAGAATGCTGACAGAAAACCGGCTTCAAAATTAAGATTGTGTTAAAGAATTTACGAAATTCTATTTGCTCTGAAATGCTGGGAAAATAGAGAAAAACTAGACCCAGGGGGAATTTCTATATCCCTTAAGTGTACATCTAAATATTTGCTCCACTCAGCAATCCGAACACAAGAGGGCCCAAAAGGGCATAACCGGAAGGAAATTGAACAAAACCTTCCTTCCCCAGGCTGCCCTCACAACAGGTTGCATGCGATGGTAATTTTAACCCCAAAAGCTATTTTCACAAAATTGCTGTTGTTTAAATATTATTAAATATTAATATCAAACGCAAGGATTATTATATAATGAAAATAAATATTATTATCAAATGCAAGTGCTCTGGGGCACTACCATGTGTGAAGGGCGCTATAAACTGGAAGCTGTTATTATACACACGTCCTGGAATTAGAGACGCCATACCAAATGAAAGGGTTATTATTACTATTAATCCCTTTTTCTGAAGGACATATCATTGTATTATGTACTACAAAACAAATGCCCTGATAACGTACTACAATACAAATGCGACTATTGTATTCACAGTATCTGTGTGGCATTGCAGTAAGTGATGAGATCAGTTGGGCTTAGTTTTGTTGGAGGTTTCATGTAAATGGCCCTTCAGAGCAGCAGTGATGTAATGCTTTAGCAGATGTATTCTGGAAACCATATCCATCTAGATTTTGTATAATAACAGATGCTGGTGAGTGAGTTATGGGATGGAATTCAGCTCCTCATTTTAGCTGACAATTTTAAAAGTCTTGATGTGAGTGCGACACGGGCAGTTTCTGTTGTCGTCAGAGATTTCATTTCCCATTAAATTATAACGTTATAATTCTCACCAAAGTATCTGTTTTCTCTATGTGTAATCAGAATGGGCACCTTTGCCAATTCCCAGACCAGATGGGGTGTGCTCATAGGCTAGGGCTGGCTAGGGCTAGGTGGGTGGGGCTAGAGGGGGTTCAGCCCCCCCCCACCATGTATCCAGAGCTCACCTGTTTAGGGGAGCTGGGAGGCAAAAACCCTGAGGAGGATCACAGCCCATCCTCCAAATAGCCTCACCGCGCATCACCCTCTCCCAACTCATCATGGGCTACACCCACTTCTGGGCTGGTGGGCTGCTTGTTGCGGTGTCCTCACCTCTGATTGACCAATGCTCCTGTCTGTCAAGTCAGTGGCTCCCTTGTCTTCATGGAATCCGACCCTTTAACTGAGCCCCACCCTCCCCAGAATATTTTCATCTGCTGCCTATGGGTGATGGGTGTCATAGTCCCAGACTAGATAGGGTGTGGGTGGGGAGTGTGTAGGGGCACGGCCATGGCTTGGCTCTGATGTTCTCAGTAAAAATCTTCGAAAACTAACACCTCCATATGACAAGTCATGTCAGGAAGGAGGAAAAGTAATCTATGTATTATTTGTGGGGGGAAAAGCACACTTTCAATATCCTAAGCATATTTTAGATATTTCAGATGACCTATTCAATAAAATAGATTGTCTGGTCCAAAAGTTTCATATAATGTATGATAATAGTCCTTGCATTTGATATAGCGCCTTAATGAGATGTCTCAAAGCATTTCACACAATATATTGTAAAGTGGATTGACTGTATTTTGTTGCTGAATGTAGGAGACTGATGGCCAGCCAGTGTCAGAATTGTGAGGACTGAGTGCTCTGTCTGCCTACTTTGTAGTCAGGGACCAGTTATTTCAGCATCATGATAACTGGATATTTACATTTCCCGTTCTTGCCGTGGTAAAAATAGAGGATTACCCGATCAATCCTGTGCGTGTAGAGCAATGGCTCAATAATGTTTTCATCAACATTTTGGTTGGAGTAAAAAATGCTTTTGAAACACATGTTCTATAAGTGATATGAATAATTTATTGGTTCACACTTGAGAAGGTTTTAGGGTAGATTATTCCCCGGTTGCAACAGCACAAATGCATTTTTGACTCTCAGCAATGAGCACCTCACTTTTTAGGCACAGTTTGTTTTTCAGCTGCACCTTCAATGCAAAGGCAGCACTTTTTGAGGCTATAACTGAGCTAAATGCGCCTCTTTGTGGAATTTGGAAGAAAAGATGGTTCAATACATTTATTTCACATCTGGTTGATGTCACAAAGCGCTTGAATTTCTGGCTGGGCTCCAGAGCTGAGGGTGAGAGCTGGGGTGGGGGATGGCTGGTGGCAGCTACAGGTTGAGGATCGGAACGCAGAAACTTTCTTTGAATGCAAGCAATTTGCAGAAAAGAGAGCAGTTGTGGAGACTCTGATTTTTTTNCACCATTGAATTTTTGTGCCACGGTAAAATATAGGCAAGTTAGTGTAGACGTGACAGTGCCAGCTCGTGCTGCACTTCCTCAGGATTGTGTGAGCAATGGGAAGTCATCACAGCACTGAGCAGTAATCCTTGCAGTGAGCGCAGAAAAGGCTTCAAGGATACAGCAGCATTTGCAAGCACCTCTCCAGCTTATTGTGGCCCATTACCCATTAGATGAGAGCTTGAAGCAAGTATTGAAGATTATTCCATGCCAGGAAATTGAGTTCTGGCAGTTCGGGGTTAAAATAAACTTGAAATTCTGGATATTTGAAGTTGATCACTTCATGAGTTATTGTATTATTGAACTGCATTTCGAAATAGCTGCGTTCTTCATCTGTCTGAATTCCATCTACAGTATTAATCTGTCAGGTTCAAATCTTTTTATTTGTACTCTGCATTGACTTTTTTGTACATGGCTTTCATTCTTTATGAAAAGCTACACAACTATCCAGGGTGCTGACAGGTCATTTTGAGATTTTTTTTTCCCTTCCGCTATCTCATGTCTGCTCCAGTCCTATAATGTCAGGGCCCAGTTTTTCGATTTTTTTTAATATGAAGTGTCTGGGCCAGCCCAGTGGCTATGCCACAGTCTAGGAGACCTAGGTTTGAATCCATCCTGAGCTGACATTCACATTCGGGCTCCCCCCAGACAGTGAGTGCTATTGATATTAGCTGCTGAGAAGACTCACTTCAATCCTAGCTTCCAGCCACAGAGCGACATTGGCCATTGCTGTGAAGGTCCTGCAGTTAGTTAGCTGCCCTTCTCTCACAGTACAGAGAGTCCCTCAAACATGAAGGAGAGGTGACGCGAACCAAAACAAAATAAAATAAGCAGGTAATTTGGTGAAAATTAACTCAAACTGACTTTGAGGTGGAACTCAGGTTCACCGTGATACAAAATTTGCAGAAATTTGTCAGAATAGAATAAAGTTATTGTTTTCCATTTAGTATTAATCATTTCCAACAAATGCATCGAAGCAGCAAGAAATAATTCTTGAAATAACTACTCGATATCCCACTACTGTATCTTTCACTGCCACAGGGATACCTAGCCAGGGATGACTATAGGAAGAATCCAACTGAGGTCAATCCACGCTAATAAAAGTAGAATTACAGTGAAAGCTCTTCAGAGAAGAAAGTCATTCTCTGAAGGGACAACAGTAAATTAATTTTATTTTTGTTTACCTAATGGATAGCTCGCATGAACTCAAATAACCCCATGTCATTTGAAGTCCTACTGCTGTCATCTTTGCTGCTGCTTTTTATATCAGATTCAAAAATTTGTTTTGTGACACTCACCAGGACATGTCTACAGTACTCTCCCATTTTATTTTTTTCAATGTGTCATAAAGCAGCTATGAACACAGTTATCTTGTATCTTCTGGATATGGATTTAAGATTAAATAGTTGTTTTCACCCTCAGCCGTGAATTGCCAATAAGCTTTAGACATTACCCATTTCATAGAATTGGAAAATTTATAGCAAGGAATGAGGCCATTCACCCCATTGAATCAGTGTTGCTTGCAGCTTCCCCACTGAAGCAATGTACACTGAACCCACTCCCCCGCTCTTTCCTCAAACCGTTTAGCATTATTTTCCCTCAAATATTTAACCAATTCCCTTTCAAATGTTTCTTATGGTCGTTTTATGCTACAATAGCCAAGCAAATTAAACTTTTTTTTACAAAAATACTTCTCTGCTACTATTCTATTGGATTTATTTTCTTCCTCTTACAGTTGGAGTAAAATAATTCCTTTCAGTATTACATGTAATGGCTTTGGCAATGCTTGGAAGTCAAACAAAATTTGTACCCATCTAAGTCGTCGTATGACATGCACAACTTAAAAAGAGAAAAGAGTTGTTTCTCCCAGGATCCTGGCCAACAATCCTCCAAATAAATTGATCCATTTTACTATTTGTTTTCGCTGCAACCTATCTGTTCCCTTCCCCCCTCCCCCCCCCCCCCCCCCCCCACACACACACACAAGTTAGCTTCCTTCTTACCACTATACTATTTCATTCTTTAGGAAGTCAGACAATCTGGGCTGAGAACGTTTACACAGCTACTGTCATTGAACCTACGCAATCAACCCATAGCAGATTACTTCAGCGGGCCAGACCTGCCCTGGCTGCCTTTTTGCCTCACTGAAATGTAACACTCCACATCCTTGAAATGGTGTATCTCAGCAGCCTATGCAAGTACTTTATCGCAAGAACTATTTCCCATATAGACATATCATTGATACATTTTATTATATTGGCCATTTGTTCGCAGCAGATACATGTTGCTTATCTCAGCAAAGTGTTAGATCTTTTAGAGATTAAATTGCTTGTGTATCTGTGAGGAAATACATTCTCAAAATGTGCTTTTTTTAGAGGTTCCCACTTGCCTGTATTTAATGCTACTTCTTTATTCTCATATTACAGGAGAGAGACCTTTCCAGTGCAGATACTGTCCGTACAGTGCCTCCCAGAAGGGGAACCTGAAGACGCATGTACAATGTGTCCATCGTGTGCCCTTTGACAATAACCAGTACCCAGACCGGCGATTCAGATTGTCTCGACATGATGATCTCCACAAAGCAATGGAAGGTCACTTTGAACATTTTACATCAGATCACCAGGATTCCGAGGCAACTACACTGGAATGAGCCATCCCTTGAACTCTTACTTTCAGTCGGAGTGAGTTGAGGCCATTTCTGAAGGGAGAGTTTGCAACTGCTGCTGCCTTTTTGGGACATGGGGAGGCAGTAAACAACTGTTTAAAGGCAGAAGTTGAACACTCCTCCTTTCCTGATGAATGACTGCAGTCTCTAGACTGTTTGAAATAAATAGTGAGATGGCCCTGGGAGCAGGACGCTATGAAAGGTGAAGAGCTGTCTGTTCAGAATACATTTTATTGATCTTTTCAGTTTTACTTCTGCTGTTTTCTGATAATTACCTAAGAAGTCTTTGTTAGAGCCAACCATGCTTTTTCTCTGAAAGGGATCATGCTGGGCATTCTGGACACTCAACAAGAGTGTCAGGGGGGAAAATCATCAATGGCGACTCGTAATCCAACCCTAACAACAGCAACCAAACTGGTTGTTATATAAACAAAGTTCAATAGTCATTATATGTCAATTGATTTTTTTTGTACTGTTTGTATGACCTGATGAGGCTCTGTTTTGGGAAAATCTTGTACAGTAGTGTAACAATAAGTTATGGTTTATTTTCACCCAAGGTGGTTGATGACATCAACAACCTTTGGCCTGTCCGTATAGAAAGATACTTCAATTTAATATTCGTTATGGTCTGTTTTATTTTAATGCCACATTGAATATAAATTGAATTGGTATTCGCTTCTCTTTTTTCCTGTCTCTCAGCAATGCATTGTGCTAGACTACGGGATCTCTCCTATCAGTCTCCCAGTATCACAATGTACTATTAGAACAGATATCACCCATCACTCTCCCAGTATCACTATGTGCTGCTTGACCGGATACCCCCATCAGTCTCTTAGTATCACCATGTACTTCTCTACTCTAATGAATCAGCTGAGCCAACACATTGTGCTGGAGTCTTTCTAACATTGGCCATTTGAAATTTCTCTTGTGGTCCAATAGGCAGGAATTTTAAGGGACCATTTTCTACTCTTATGACAAGAATCGTTCACCAGATAACCAGAATTGGTCATCATTTAGCAAGATTATCGAGGAAGTGAATAAAACGCAATCCCTGATTTCAGCCATAAATAAGACATAGAGAAGGAAAATTTTAATGATGTTCTGGACTTTGTAGAAGGGTGTGTCGGCTTGCCAAAAGTTTTAGATTTTATCTCAGTGGTGTCCTCTTACACAAAAGCTTCATATACCTCTTTTGTTTGCCAACACCATCTGAAATGATTTTCTAGCTGAGGGGCGATGGCTGTAAGCAAAAGTCATTCATGTACAGTGTAGTGAATTTCTACTCAAAACAACTGTGGCACTCTGGAACTTGTTATTAAAAATGCCCTGACATTTTCAAAATGTTGTGTCCTGGAAGAATCTCTGTGCTGCAAGCATTACAAAAGGCAGCTGCTTTCAGAAAAAGAAAGATTAATTGAAACAAAAAAACTTTTCGATGATCTTCAATAAATATTTTCATTTACCATTTTTGGTGGAGGTAGAAGTAATTGAACAAAACCTACTGTGCTTGATTTATGTTCCAAGACGTTAGTTTCCAATTGCACGGTGATAGTTCTTTTTCTGCACTAATAGAAACAGCAGCTTGCTGAAAGGACACTGTTCTAACGGGGCTCTGTAGTGAATAGTTAAGTTATATAAACATCTGTCTAGGCTAAATGATATGAAAATCTGACTGACAGATAATTGAGGAAAGCTAGCTAAAAGAAACACACCGCTGTGATGAAGAAAGCAAAATGTTTGAAGCTTGTATTTTGTTATTTCATTTTAATCTATATATTCATATTTGAAACTTGACAACTATTTTGTTATTAATCGCAATGAGCGTTGAGACCTGTGGAATAATCTGCTTTGCTTCTATTTCCAATTTTCTTCAGAGTACTCCATTATGTGAAATTTTAGCAAAACCTTTTATTTTGTCATGAGCTTTTGTAAAAATAACACACGCTCGGTAATAACCTACATTTTCTTCTTTTTGTTCATTTGTATAACAGGAGCCACAGTGTACTATTGCTATAAAATGCCTTACAACTCGATGTAATCTCCAGCATCAACAGTGTAGCCATCTATCTGCCCATTTACACTGAGACAGGCTTACTTGTAATCAGGGTGTCCGTTCAGACTTCAGTTTGAGATTATTTTTCTCCTCTCTTTAAGATGTTGACATGTGCTTGAGTATGGTTTGTTCCATGGGCGCCAGACACCCTCCAGTATCTCAGCCAGGCGGCCAGCGGCCATTCTTCTTGTGTGAACACTAAATGTTGGCAGGTTAAATGAGCATGGAGAGGGCTCTCGCCAATCTTGTCCTCTCCCACTGCCACACACGAGCGCTTTCTATCAGGAATCATTAGTTAGCAATCAGGAACCCTGCTGATTTCTTCTTTCCCTCGCTCAGAGATACTGAAGTCAATTCTTGTCATCCTACCCTCATCCCCGCTGAGATCAGCTACAGACTTAAGAGAGGTTGAAATTTCTCATGTTCATAGCCTTAAGACCGTTGTGCAGAATTATGGAAAATACTTCAATTCAGTCTCAACTTCGAAGCCATTTTTCTACAGTTTTTAAAAAGAACTCTGGAAAACCAGTTTCCAAATTGAGACTTAATTTAAAAAATGTACAATCTTACATTTTCCTGTCCTGATCAACCATCCCCAAACAAAATTAGTCATATACTTTATGGCTGTTTTTGGGACATTGCTATATGCAAATTGGCTGCTATGTTCATCTACAAAACATACATACTAATGGGAGTTCTGTGAAGCACATTGAGATATCCCCTCAAGATGAAAGATGCTGTATGAAGTGTAAGGATTATTATTATTTTGAAACAATGGTCGTGAGATTAAGTCCATGAGAAGTTTTGGGTAATAGATATCTTGAAAAGAATTTTAGGAATTGTGGAATATTATTGTGGAATCTTTTTGCCCCAAATGAAAGCCTCGTTTGATAAAATATCAGCTGGTTTGTACATTTTGTGCTCCAATAACAACAATAAGCATGAATGAGTATTGCACTCGTATTTTCGTCTTTGTTTAATATAAACGACACGTATAAAACATGTATTTTGATTTTCTTTTAAAAAAACTTTCACGTGTTCATGTGTATACCATTCCTCAGCCACTGTCTGCCCACTCCACGCCTCACCCTTCAGAAAATCCGTGGCTTACAACAGAGCAGCTCCCTCTTTGTAGGGATGTACATGACCTCTACTCAGACCTATGTCCTCCTCACAGAGGTATAGATTGTCAACCCCTGCACCGTGTGGACCTACCTTCCTCACTCCCCAGTGTAAGCATTTTTTCTGCCTGGTTTCTTTTTTCCCAAATGCCTTTTGGATTTTTTGTTTCTTCCCATTTATTAAAAGTTTACTTCTTGTGATCCCTGCTTTGCCTCTTAAGAAATGTAGTTCCCCCTCTTAAAGTTTGCCTTGGGGTAGTAAAAGATCAGACATGACTTGTAATGAAACATTATGCATTGTGCACCTTGCGTGTAATTGCCGCTTGTATCTCATGGTCACCTATTCACATGGAATGTAGGGCAGAATCTGCTGCTTCTGTTGCCACAGTAACTTGTGTACAAACCCTGCTTAGATCAGGATTTGCCAGCGTTCTGCAATAATCTAATGTAAGACCAGTCTGCAGCATGTTTTTAATTGTGGGTTATTTTCTTGAAATCACAAGAACAGGGGTTGTTTTACATATATTTTTATTTAAATGTTCCTACTTTTGATATAGTAATTGGCTTTTGTGCAAAGCCCAAAGTGCAAAAGTATCGATAGCATTCCGTGGAGTGTGCACTTTGATTAAGAAGATTGTAAATATCTTTGATTGAAAACAAATGATTACTCTACCTACATGTCGCATCTAATATAAGGAAAAGGTTAAAATCTTGAAGCTTCATTTCCCCCTTTCCCCTAACGTCTCAGTCTTTGTTGGATTGATTTCAAACGGTATTAAGAATATCTTAATCTTATTGTTTGCAATAAAGGAGTCAAATCTGTAAATTAATTCCAAGAGTAGCTTCCAGTATAACAAAGGCTATTTTCCACTAACAGTATTGTGTTGCATTGTGTTATTTTACTATAAAATTGTTAGATCAACATATTTAATGTTTAGTATTTATTCAGTTGGTTATCTTTTTTTAAAACAAAACACAGAATCTTAATGTGATGTTTGCAAGATACTTTTTTGACTGCAATTTAGTGCGATTTTTACTTCTGATTTCCACTTCTGAGCAGATTAGTAAAGTGTAAACGTTGTTTTGTCCGATTCCACATTAAACTTTTCTATAATCTACTTTGTTGCCATGTGCATGTGTTCAGGGTTCCTGAAGTGGATTGACAGACTGACAAGTGCCCTGACGTGGTGGTGCAGCTCACAAGCATTTCATGTTGAGTTATGATACTCATCAAGAGGCTTGCAAGGAGTTCCTGCTACCCGCTATCCACCTAGTGATGGCTCTAAAAACCTGCACTTGTTGGATACCTAATGACCAACTGGTAATGATCCTGCATGGGACAGGAATATTAGCAGGATATCCTCTGGGCTGAGATGGCTCCAAGGTGACATGCCTGCCAATGGGATATTGAGTTGATCCTCCACTAGTGGTCTCAGTAATCTGATTCCTGAGCCAGGAGATCCACAGTACTCCAAGGCACTGCTAATGACAGAACAGCAAACCTAGCTCGCCGGCAGGACTTGGAGGGGCAGAACGGTCACTGGGACCAGGGGGAATTCTTCCCACTCAGCTCATATTAACCCTTTGGTCACCCATCAGTGCCTTGTCCTAGTGCACACTCAACCTCACTTAGCCAGTCAGGAACCTGGGTATCGTGTCCTTTCTCCCCAACACCGTCCTTTCTCCCGGTACTGCCTACCACCATCTCTGCAACATTGCCAGACTCCACCACCGACTCACCCCTCAGGCTGCCGAAACCCTCACCCAGGTATTCGTCACATCAAGGCTCGATTACGGGAACTGCCTCCTCATCCCCCTTCCCAACTCTTCCCTTCACAAGCTGCAGATATTCCAAAACTCTGCAGCTCATGTACTCTCATGCACCAGGCTCTGTGACCCCATCACTCCCACCCTCGCCCGACTCCACTGGCTCCCCATCCCCCAGAGGATCGAGTTTAAGATCCTCGTCTTCACCTTTAAGGCCATCCATGGCCTTGTCCCCTCCTACCTCTCTGACCTGCTCACTCCCTACCAACCTGCCCACTCCCTCCGTTCAGTGGGCTCCGGCCTGCTCCATGTCTACCACCCTACCATCGGTGGCCGGGCTTTCAGCTTCTCTGCCCCCACACTCTGGAACTCCATCCCACAGTTCCTTCACCTCGCTTCCTCCCTTGCCTCCTTCAAGGCCAGTCTCAAGACCCTTCTCTTCAACCGTGCCTTTGGTCTCCCTCCCCCCTCTCTGCCTTCCCTCACCCCTACACGTCCCCCCCCCATGTTCAGTCCCCGACACCTGACTGTTCAGTGCTTTGGAACGTCCTCCCGACGTAAAAGGCGCTCATAAATATAATTTTGTTGTTGTTGTCATTCTTCGTGTGTATCTATAGATAGTTGGGGTCTTCCTTAGACTAAAAACAATCTTTTCACTACTTCAATGGAAAGGTAGTGCCGATGATAAGGTATGGCAGTGACTGTGTGAGGCTATGTAACTGGAGGATATCATAGCTGAGCTAACATGACCTGATATACACAAACACACACTTCCATTCAGGCCTCATCGGAAAGGATTCAGACTAGAAGCTTCATAACATAAGAGTGAAATTGCACATGTGATGTGATAATTGCACTGGTGGTAGTTATCACATTACAGAAAGTTCTGCCCATTTGAGATGACCACCCCCCTCACTTTCATCACAATAGTTAGGCCCAAAGCTGCCTATGGCTTCCATTGACATTTGAATGATTGAAATACCAATTTATTCAACAGCAGAAATGCAGTAAAGATGATTGTTATGAACCAACACTCGTTTGCTGTGCACTGCTGGTCATAGGCAGCTTCAACTCAAACCTCTGATGATGAAGAGGAGGAGATTTGCACCCATAGTCAGACAACAACAAACCAGATTTAATTTAAACAAATTCAGCCTGAAGTAAACCATGATTCCACCTCATCTATATGAGAAGCATGAAAGTTAGTTACAGTGTTCACATTGCTGGCCCATCTTAGATCAGGCAATTCTGCAATGACCAGAAACTTAACCTAGTCTTCTTTAGCATACAAGGTTTTGAACCATATTATGCAGTACCAACTGAACCTTTGCCACTAAGAGAGCTTTGTCTCTTTTAAGCATCTGTCACAATAATGTGCTTCAGGCTTACTGATTTACAAGCTGTATCTTCTGGTATCTTCTGTTTTGCCTCATGGGATAGCATATAAACCATTTTTATGGATTCCTTCAAGGTTGTATGTTTCTCAGCATCTTTTCTTAACAAGCCCATTACTTCTTTC